CAAAGGTGCCGCCGCAGGGCTCTGCACCGCCGCCGTGCGCTGCTAGTCCTACGCCTCCCGAGGCACACGCGGTCCTCGCTGGGCCGTGCTGCCCTGTTAAAGTCAGTGGGATTTACAGCTCTGTAACTGCCAGCAGAAGCAGGCGTAGGAAGAGACTGAAATTTGTCTTCGTTCCTTTACAGACATTTACCAAAACTCCTATTTTGTGAATAAAAACAGCTGGGGAGGGGTGTGTGTGTGTGGGGGGGGTGTCCCTAGATCCTCTCAATTTTTTTTTTTTAAAATTGCACTGGTGTTATCTTCAATCAACAGTGTTTTAAAGGTTGTTTAAATGCTCTTGGTGGAGTCACAAGCTGTGTGCGAGACCTGGAGAAAGCGCTCAGCGGCACACGTGACCGCTGCAGCTGGGGTAAGGGAGCGGGATAGCTGTGCCGTGCCGGGGTGCTGCTCCGCTGGCTCCGGGAGCGCCCAAGAGCAAGGGGGCACCAAGCCAGCAGCTGAGGCTGAGATGTGTTGGCTTCTGTAAAAGTGTGAGGAGAGGGGATTTTTGTTTTGTGTTAAGGCAGGATGGGTGCTGAGAAGCTCAGCAATGGCCAGAATGGGTAGAAAATAGAAACTTTGCTCTCCGGATCTGCTGACACTGGGATGATGCTGCCAGTTTGGCAGAAGGACGTGCCAAGAAGCAGAGACTGCCTTCCCCTCCCACCCTTCCCGCTGCTTCAGGCCCTGACGTGTTACCCTTTCTGGTACTGCAGTACTTGGGGTATCCTGCCAGAAACAGATTCACGTTGTCCAGACATTTTGTCAAAAGAAGAACCCCTCCTCCTGCAATGTCATCCTTGCTTCTTGCTCAGGATCAAGCCAAGAGCCAAAGGGGGTAGCTGAAACAGAGACCACGTACAAGAGGAGCACCCACGAGGGGGAAAAATGGGGTTTCAGAGGAAACACACATGGGATTTCTTGTCCTGTTCAAACCGGAGGGCCTCGCTGAGCTCCCTGTCCTTATCCCGAGGACCTGTCTTAGTGTGTGCCTGCACGTGCCGGTGCGGAGGACCTACGCGAGCTTCACCAGGAAGCCTCGAGCCTCTCTGTGCGCACACGAATGTGCCTGCGTGCTCTAGCTGCTGGCAGCACAGGGATCCCGAGGCGTCCGCTTCCTATGCCTCAGTCTCACCGGCCTCTACGGTCCACAGGTAGCGAAGGGGAAGCAGGAGAGACGAGCGCCTAGAGCACAGGTGGTAGCACCAGGGACAGCCAGTGGTGGGGTTTGGTTTTCATCAGAGTATGCCATCGGTGTGAGGAAAGCAAAGGCAGTCCTACCAGAGCATCGTTGTACAGCAAAGCTGGCAGCACTCGATCCACTCTTATCTGTTAAAACCTGGTGACAGAATTCCATAATTTTGTGCCTGTGAATCATTTGCATGCCGTACTTGTAGCTATAATTTACCCAAATCTGTCAGAAGCGTTCACTACGGCAGAAGCAGAATGGAGCACAGAGCGGGGAAAAATCTTGGGTCATCTTTACTTGACTGCTAGCCAGGGCTGTCCCCCCAGATATCAGAGTGGCTTGAAATGGTCAACAGGAGTGGAGGCTGTCAGTATTTCCTTCTGCCACAACCAGCATCTAATCCTTTTTGCGACGATGATCTCGAAGCAACTGGTCAAGAATCTGTCTGTTGCTACTGATGGTCTTATGAAGCAGTGACCAGGATTTAGGCTCTGTGAAGCAGCTGTTATGGTGCCCGTCAAGTCTTCAGATTCCTCTGATACTTCTCAGCCGATGTGCCGATCTGAATATGCTTCTGGTTGCTTTAATAATTATGTCCTAAGCGTCAACAGGAAAATGTAGACCGCACATATTCCCTCAGTCTGTCCAAAGCAGAAGGGTGGAAAACTGATAAAATTACTCGGTGTAAAAAACATGCAGAAATATATGAAAATGTATTATTTAGAAGAATTTCAAGCAGTCCAGTGTGTGGCTGTCATTGTGTCATTCAAAGCAGAGGAACTGCACGGGACCGCTGGTTCTCCAGGCACCTTGTTAGACGTAGCCTTACATGTCTGGTTCACCAGCTCTGAGAAGGCACTTTCTGGGTCACTCAGGAGGCTGCCACTTCTATGTGCTGGGGTCCTCAGCAAGGCTGGTAACCCAGGTGGGTCAGCAGAAAGAATTTGCAGTCTCCTAGCCGACTTTGAGTTAGGTAGCGAGGATTCAGTCCAGAGTGGTCAAGGATATTGGTGATGCAAGCATCTGGAAGAGAGGTTCGGTAACCTTTGGGCTGAAGCTCTCCAAAGTCATCCTTCGTTGCTGTGACAATGAGCTGCTTGAACATGCTCTGCAAGCCGTGACACGACCTGCAGCTCGCGCAGAATACGCTTCTCCATTTGCCACGCAGGAAGGACAGTAGCGCTGGGGTGCTTGGGGTCTCTCTGGGGTGCCTCTCCCATTACATATTACTTACGATGAAATTTGTGCGGTATCTGAGTATTCAAGAGCCGATGGGTTCTGGAAGAAGCTCATGGGACTGGTTTTTGTCTACAAAGCTTTGATCAATCAGGCCATGGACATTTTTTTTTTTTTAACATAAAAACACCCGCCCTGCCTTGCTTTGTGACGAAGCCATGCCAAATTGCATCCAAGCACGTACCTCTTTTCAAGACTGACCTTTCTAACACTGTCATCTGCCCCTGGGTTGTTCTGTAGCTGCTCATTTCACCAAGCACGTACCTCTTTTCAAGACTGACCTTTCTAACACTGCCATCTGCCCCTGTGTTGTTCTGTAGCTGCTCATTTCGCATGATTTGGCAGTCAATGTGTAATTCAGTCCCACAAAAGTCCCTCACCACAAAAGCAAGCTTCCCCAGACTTTGCAAGTTGCTACCTTGCATGCAGTGCTGTGTGTTTCACAGACATGGGTTCACTCCTTTTCCAAGCTCAGTAGATGGAATTAGGCAATGTGGAGGACAGTAAACATATAGCTGTTTTCAAGGACTCTAGGTGCTGCATTATTTTTGATCCTCACCTGCTTGCTCAACATATAGTAAGCCTTACTCTCACTTATGCAATAAATCAAGAGGAAATTCTCCAGAAACAGCCAAACCTACCATAGGCTACCCCAAGCCTACTATGCACTATAGTATAATACACATACTATAAATATATACATATAACATACACATATGTACATACAAATGCACACACATAATATGTGTATGTATACGCACATATATTTTAACTCTCTCAAGACTTAAGCGCAACAGCTCAGATCAGATGTGCACCTACCCCAGCAGCCTGTCTCTGACTGCGGCAGTAGCACATGCTTACAAAAAAAAGGATAAAAACAGTGTGAGGTATAAAACAAAGTTTCCACTGGTATCCCAAATTCCCACCTAAGGCTTACAGACCACCTAAGCAGCAGCTGGTATCTCTGCTTTTATGCTTAATATAAATGCTATGCATATTTTTTTCCCATAATGCTAAAGTCACTGACAGAGCCTAATAGGAACAGCTTTCTTCTGGGTGTTTCCTACAGGTTTGTTCCTCTATGTCCATCACACTGCATTACTTCCGTGCAGCACTGGGAGCAATCAGACTTTTAGTTTTTGGTTCATTATCTGAGCCCAATGCTGCAGAGTATTGCTTGTCACAGGAAGCGGCATGGAGCTCACTTTCTTTTTAAATACTGGTTAAAAAAATTGGATTCCTTTCTTATAATGAATGTAGTGCTGGTAAAAAGGGCCAAAGAAGTAGCCTCTCCAACTTGGTATCTGCTGTCCAGAGCAGAGGGGTTGACCATACCTGTGCACAGGTACACGTGGTTCCCCGCTGCCAACCCAGAGCAAGTCCTTGGCTTTCAAAACCTCTGCATTAGTTGAGGGAGCAGGTGCTCATCATGAAGGAGACTCTTCAGTTGCTTTTCATAAAGATACAGGCTTTCTTAGTTCCAAGTTTGGGTTGTTGTTTTTTTTTTTAGTTAGAAATGCTGGGGCAGAGTACTCTATAGGGAGAAACAATCTCCCGAGGTATGATTACAGTTCTTTACAGACTTACTGCAGGGCCTGGAAAGAGATGCTTAAATACTCTGTGCCTCTTAAAACACAATAATAATAACAACAACAACAACAACTTAACTTTCCTTGCCAGGTTAATGCAAAAATCTGGATGATAAGAACTTCACAGGCTTTGCAAAAAGGCATATAGAAAACTGAGAAAACGTGTTCAGAAATGAGCCGCCTTATTACTTGTTTTGTACCTCAAATGACTCTGCAGATTTGTGTGCACTTCAATTTATTGAGGGCCCAACACCTGTTCCCACCCTGTTCCCTAAAGTGAGCAGGAGGCGGTTCTGGGGGGAATTACTTTTAATGCTAAATAGCGCCGTGTCCCACAAATGGTCTCACTTTGCTTCTGATGAATATTAAGTCTCCAAAATCCTTCTACTGATTCTTGAGCTCATCTGGACAGGTCTACTTGAGCAATCAAATGCCATTTTCTTAGATTAAGCGCAGACAAAAATCAGGCCACGTGCAAACATATAAAAAATTATTAAAATTACTTTTTTTTTCATAATACATCCCCTTAAACATTGCTAACTGACAGAATCTAGTTAATTCTGTATTTTTGCTCTAGGCATTATTTCTCTATTACATGGGAGGCCCTCAGCAGTAAGGTAAATTTATTGAGGTTGAATCCACAGGCCCCTTGCCTTCAGTAGAAGTGCTTTGACTTACACTACTGCAGGACCTTTCCCAGCGCTTCTTGTGCAGATTATTAAGTCTTCGCCTAACCATTGCTTTTAAACCCTCTCACACAACTGGAAAGTTTCTGAGCCAGGGATGGACTTAGCCATCAGCTTAGTTTTATAAGAACATGGCACTTATTCTCAGGACTTTTCTGGAAGAGGGCTGTAGAATAGGGCAAGGTGCGCTTTTCCTGTAACGTGTAGGTGGTGGGTGGCCTTGCTGGAAGTCACAGCTAGGGGCGGATGCTGCCCTTATGTTCTCTTTAAGGGCTTGCGCCCATTCTCTCCCCCCACAGGCGATGGACTGGGGATCTGCAAAGATGGGAGCTCCGTCCCCCCAGTGACTGCTGGTGGAAGAGGCAGCGCCACACGGACCCCCTTGGAGCATCACATGGAGCAGATGCTGGATTTCACTGTGGGCTGCTCCGAGAGCATTTTGCACACGTGGGGCCCCCTCCGTCCTTTGCAGGGAAGTACTGCTGGCTCCATGGAGGAATAAAGGTGGTTTTCAGTATGCCATTTCCAACTCGGCTGGATTGACATTTCTGTTTCTATGGAGTAGGGATCAGATTTATAGCTTTCTTAAAATGGTCTTGGTGCTTTCTGAGGGGGAAGTTGCTTTCCTGTTACTTGCCTCTGCTTCCTTCTCCCACATACATGCAAAACATGCATAATTTTTAATGAGACAGGTTTTTGTTAATTATTATTGGTTTGTTCATTTACTCTCAATGGGCATTTTAGGGGCATGGGCATTTTGGATCCTGAAATCTTAAGACATCTGTACCCAATCAGCTACACCCAGGGATACCATCCCTTCTGTTCCCTTAAGGACCTGTCACTGTTAATGCCACTTTATTCTGGGATTTATGTGAAACACACTTATACAATATAACTTGGGCAGCAGCAGCAGGCCAGACAAGATCCCAGCAAGGAAAGAAAGGCAACCAAATGCCCCTATAAGAGGTTTTGATGAGGAAAAGGACGTACTAAATAAGGATCAAAGTGACTTCTGAGAGGGACCTGGAGAAATGTCCTTGCTGTTCTCTTTCTGGAGACACCCAGAAGTTATGAGAAAACCTAGAAAGGCAAAACTTCTGAATTCATTATTTGGAGAGGAAGCCTCGGCTTTTAGCATGTGGAAAATAACTTTCTGTAAAATGCATTTCTTTGTTCTCCAGTATGTCTTTGTTATTGAGCAACAGGTTAGTTGCAATTATCAGCATACTGTATGAAGAAAGCAGCATCATGTTGTTACAGGAATTACTAATAACAGAAAAAAAATTTCTGTCACTGCCCTAATGCCAGAGGGAGTGAGGAAATCTTATTTTAATATGAAGCTATGCAAATTGTAAATGGCTGTTAATATCTACTTTCTGTAGGCTAGGCTAAAGTCTGAGCTCCTTATTCTCTTTGTATCTGATTTTGCTCCATCAGATTCTTACTGAGGCTTTGGTTTTATGCGCTTATCATTATCTTGGTTTTAAAAAGTAAGTGTAGCGCGTGTACATATACACCGACTTCTCTGGTAGCTGCGGAGCATGTAGATATTTGCAAGTCTCCCGTTCTTCTCATGCGTGCTGGATTTTGCACACATAAGCACATACGATAAGAAAGCCGGGGGACTCACGCAGCACAGGGGACCCCTGGAGTCGGGGCAGGCGGGGGGCTGGCCACGTGGAGTCTCGGGGCTGCACCTCAGCCCCGTGCCAGGGCCTGCAGCTTCCTTCTCCTTCAACCAGATAAATAATCGCCGGGCCACACTGCCTGCCTATCAAAACCGGCACTAGGAGATGCTTATTGGGAAAGCGAAGCCAAATTACCAATGCAGGCTTTGCTGCACAACTGCTGCTGCCCCTCCCGCCCTGACCTCCCTCCGTGCACAGCACCTGACTGACAGGGCACACGCGGAACACGGCTGCTGCCGCCTCCTCACCCAGCTCCCTCTCTGCCCCACGTCCCTCCGTCTCCCTCATCTCCTCATTTTTGGCGCTAGGCCGCCCAGAGACGCTCTCTGCAGCCTTGCTGCAGCAGTGACGGGGCCGCGGGGCACCGGTACGCTGGGAGACCCCCGGGACGGGACACTCCTGCTGCTGCAGCCCCAGGACACAGCTGGCAGCCCGGGGCACAGGCAGAACAAACACCTCGGGGAGACGCACTGGGAAACTGCTTTTCCCCTTGCAAAATTCCCAAGGAGCCCCCGATGCCCGACGGGACGCGAGAGCCCTTCCTCCCCTCCGCGCCGGCGCTGCAGCACCGGCTGCCCACGCACCGGCGAAGCACGCACAGGCGAAGCACGCGTGGGCAGCACTAACGCCTCCGGTCCTTTCATGCACACCCGGACGCCTTAGGACCATCAGAACTCCCCTTCATCACCTGGAGAGCCCCTGCAGGCTGTTTCAAAGCCTGACCCCATCCTGGCTTTGGTTTTGCTCCTCTAGCAACAGCAGCAAGACACGCACTGCGTAGCCAGAAAAATCTTCTATCCGAAGCAACGCGCGGATGTGTGTCTGCTTTTCAGAGGGCAGTGCTGAGCCGGGGCACTCAACGCCTCCTGGATGAGAAACTGATGTTTTATTTCAATTTTTACCGCACTACAGGACACAAGGCCAACTTTTGCCCTCTCTTTCTCCACCATGAACCCTGAAAGAAGTGAAGTCAGAAGAGTGACCTTGGATTTATATCACTGATGGCAAGAGCAACATCTGCCTGAAGGTGAGATTAAAAAACTTGCACTGTAAGGATAAATGGGGTCCTCCCATAAAATTCTCAACATACAATAAATTGGGTTGTAAAGCAGGTACTGATAAATCAGCAGGGCATCTTTTAAGTAACAGAAAGCTTATGAAATCACAGCACTCACACCTTCATTTCTTTGTCATTCTCTATTTTTTTCTTACTGTAAATCATGGCCACTGAGTTTAATAGGGCTTACACAATATTGTAAGTATCTCTTAAGTAATGTAATTGCTATTTGTGATTCCACTCATGCTTGAAAGCTTTTTTTACCGCAGGGAAAATCTTCCATTTTCCAAGTGACTCATTTGTAATGAAAACTGAACACCCCCACCCTCACCCCCACCGTTTGCGAGGAAAGTGAGTAAAGTGGGAAGGCATTTTTATGTGACACGCAGCGTATCAGTTGGGCGTTTTGAGTACCTGTCTTAAGATTCAGCACCATATTGCTCATGGAGACTGGGTCTGTCGATCACAGCCGGTCCAGAGTTGCTGGAGCAGGGATGTTTTTAGCCCTCGTTTTTCAAATAAACCCTTATACTGCACCTTTACATAACCAAAGTGGCTTTTTTGCCCGTGCTAGCGCCACCTGAGAGGTGAATTTTGATAACCCATCTAAGACCGCTGTAAGCAAGCAGCTTTAACGAAGCCAGTGCCGCGGTGCACCATCGCGCAACTACACCAGCATCGCCGGAGACCTGCCTCTGCTGCTTCTCTCTGGCATTTCACTAACCCCTAGTGCCCCCTCCCCAACAGACGGAATGCCGCGCAGTTTATGCTGGGGACTGGTGTCTACAAATGAGCCGAAGCTGAGAGGTTTCCCCTCCGGCAGCAGAGGAGCGAGAGAAGAGAAAGTGATGCTGACTATTGGTCCACTTACATCATTGGGAATAGTAAGTTCATGGGAACTGGTTGGAGTAGTGGCATCCAGTCCTATTCAGGGGACAGAGGGAAAATGTTACGCCAGTTGTTTGCAAGAAGGGCAAGACACAACCAATGGTATTTTAAAGAAGGAAACATACAGGAAGAAGGAAAAAAAAAAAACAAAAAACCAAGAGAGGAGCAAAGAAAAATAGAGAACTGCTAGCGGAACAGAAAAGAAAGCAAGAGATGCAAAACTCGGAGGGCTGGACTAATTTTAAATGAGTCTTATTTTAATTAACCTTTAACCCACCAAAGCAACAAATGTCACGTGAGATTCCACAGGGTCATAAAAAGCTTCTAGAAAATGAAGGGTTTCCCCTAAAAAAAGTCTCTGAAGTTTGTTCTAAACACGTCAACTGAGAAATTAATGGATGGCTGAAATTTGACCTGTCTACCAGGAGTTCTAGAATACGGAAAATGAAAGTGCAAGTCAAACGAGCAATTAGCAGAACAAAATACATAGATATGAAAAAGAAAAAATAATAAATTAAAATAAGGATGAGGAAATTAACCTAGGAAAATTTGGAAATTATATGTGGTATTAGTTGCTGAAGAAATGTTGGGAAGGGTAATTTTTGAAGGGAAATGTACAAAATACTCTAAGCTGCATACATTTGTTTGTAAATTGGGTGGACAAAAGGAAAATGCTCAGGAAAAATGGAATTACTGCTTTAACACATGGTAACATTACAGAAATGTACATCTCACAAATATAACCAGGAAAAGATTAAGGAGCAGCATGTTAATGACAAGAATAAGGAAAATATAAAGCTAGGGAAGGCAATTTAGTATTACTTGTAGATATTTTATCAGATACATCATGAAGAAATAAAAGGGTATTTTGGATGTCATGTTTCTTTCTCTCCTTTTCTCTTTTTTTTGCTGTTTATTATTATTATTATTATCTGTAAAGACATGCCAAAAATACTCACTTCCAACTAGAAAAGATGGAAAAGAAATACTTTTACAAAAAAAGTGACTCACCTACATTTTACTTATGTTTACATTCAATTAAGAGTTGCATATGCTTATTTTACATGGTATATATAACAATCAGCTTGCTCACAGAATTTGATGTATGTGATAAAATGTTATTTGCCATACAAAGCATGTACCAGTACATACGTACTTCTGTTTTGTGAAGTTTTTAGACGACAAGCGTGTATGTAGTGAAGTACAGTAAAAATGATTTATTGCAGGGTTAACTGACTTCTCACTCTTGAATCAAGAATTCGGCTTCAGCTCTAATAAATATGGACCAAATTTGCAGTCCTTAATTTAACTAAATTTCCATTGCATTTTGTAGCTATCTTTGCATATCTAGTAGGAAGAGAGGCATTTGTCCCAGCAGTGATGATTACAGATACTCTTAAGACATTTGGCTGTGCAAGGAATTTGAGTTTCAGCATGCCGTAATTTCTTTAATCAGTATTTCTTTACCACGATTACATAGTGTTTTCCTATGTTTGCTTCTGTCTGAACCACGTTACCAAACTGGAAATTTGACAAAATGCATGCCCAAGTACTTCACTCGGGACCAACTGGTACATACTGTATAGTCCATAATAACTTTGCAAGGACCGAATGATAGAAACTCAGGGCTTTTCGCCAACGGCACAAATGAAGCAGTTTTGATTAAATAAATGCAACGAACAAAGCACATTTTAGTAATGATGAAAGGAACTGTAACAGAGGCATGGCGGGGGAAGAACAGAGATTAATGTGTAAAAACAGAAGGATCGCTGGTCATTGACCACATTTATTATTAAAATGATGTAATGACCACGGGAAACAAAGCTGTTAAGAAGAAGGACATCCCCAGGGGGTCATGGGTACGTACCAGGGAAACCAGGGGTGGTCTGCCCAAGGGGAGTAAAGGGGGGATGCTGCATAGCCAACTGGTGAAGCTTGGTCAACTGCAGGGCAGGATGGGAAATTAGAACTAACCAATCAAATGGAATTATTTCAGAGCAGAGAAACCATCTTACGTGTTCTAAAACTGGATTAATTAAAATTATATTGGAAAAAAAAAAAAAGGTTTAATCATTCATTCTAATCTACCGTAGAGAAAAAAAAAATAAAACCCAAACTGGTTATAAATGACATCTCTACTGTTATTACATGTAATGGCTATTGTTAATATTAACTAATTACTGTAGAATTACATATTAAAAGAACTCAAATATATCACATGCAAAGAAAGACCAAGATAACTGTCATTTGTTCCTGGGCCATTGTACTTTCTAGCAATTATTACAAAAGGTAAGAGATGCAGCTGAGCTAACACGTGGCTCCACAGTGCGCCGTTCAGGAAAGGTGTCCTTAGGCCGTGCCTTTTGTGCTAACTGTAGAAAGCAAATGTTGCCCAGAACAAATAAGAGGGAGAGGAAGAAAAAGGGAGTAATTTACATGCGTGGGACTCACGTCTGGATGAGGGATGGCGTACTGCCCCTGAATCGTGAACGCCTGGAAACAACAAGCACAGTTAAGACACGGGTCAGTCAGTCAGGCGGGACAAGCAGCATTCCCGTTTTCACCAGAAAAGCTCCACCTGGCTCGCCAGGTGAATGCCACCCACATCGCTTTCAACGCTGAGTGACGCTTAATTGTCTTGTGCTGCTCGATAACGCCTGGCAGGGGTCAGGAAGATCTTAGGGGCTGCCCACGCACCCCTCGCGAGCAGGGGTGCCGGGTGCCGCTGCCCGAGCTCCGGTGACCCCAGTCCTCGGGACCCCTCTTCAGCCCAGCTCCGCCTGCTGGGAGCAGAGCTGGGGACACCACGGGGGCCGAGGAGCATAGCGGG